ACATCTGCACCTTGCGGCCAGCTGCCTCCTTCTCCTTCACGCTATGGGATGCTGACATTTTCGCTTCCTCCCCTTCCGTCAAAGATTGTCTCATAAAAAGGCCTTCACCTGTGCTCAATAAAACATTTTGCTGTTTGTCGGCAGTTTCGTTATCACACCTCAGCTCTTCAGCACTATATTTCAGATTCGTATTGCTCTGCTGGTTTTGCTTCTTGACATGGACAAGCAGGCTGAAAAATAAGCCAGTGGTTACATCTTGTAAATAAGTTGATTTATTAAGGCAACAGGGCTCTTTCAGAGCAGCTGGGAAGCAGATGAAACATCTCTTTATATACCGTCATTAAAAGAAATTTTCAAGAGAGGTGGACAAACCTACAACGCTTGCTTTTTCCTAGGCAGCCCTCATCTTTCTGCTCTTATCAGCAAACCCCATTCCTGATGCCCTGTTTTGGACTGGTATGTGAACTAGGTTTTAATGTCAGGCTTAACTCAGTGGATGGCTCAAATGTGAGCAGGGACACCACAAAGCCACTGCTGAGTTACTCGGCCTTTGCAGGTGTTGCCCTCAACTATGGCACCACCAGGGCTTCCAGCCACTTCTTCCAGCACCTGGAGGATGCTGCTGGTGTCCGAGGGACTTGGGCCCTGTTCCCACATTAGCCCTTGTCCCCACTGAACAAAGACAGCTCTCCAGCCTGGCATGCAGGCTCCCACCCATCTAGTCCCCACTGAAAATGCCACTAAGCACAGCTGGGAAAGCACACGAGTGGATGGGACGGCACATCTACAGACAAAAGGCAGGTAAAAGTCAAATGAAGTATTCCAGCAGTGAGGTGAAGAAGCTCCTAAATCCCCCTTCTCTTCTCTCAGTCCAAAATACCATGCTCTTAACCCCAATCCCCACACCTCTCCAGAAGGAGCCTGAGCACAATTTGGGGTCTCCCCTGGGACGTGGTAAGAGAATATGCAATGACGAGGTCTATGGCAGACAAGCTTCCAGCCTTTTGTAGCTTTGCAAGATATTCTGCAAGCAAACCATACCAATCTGTTCTACCTCTTGCCCCACCACCTCACTCACCGTGAGCTGTCTGGGGAGCAGTTTCCTCTGCACTCTGCCAGGCAGCATTAAAGAGGCAGCAGAAGCGCCCTTACAGAAACAGAACTAAGGCCAAATCTCGATTATTTCCATAGCTGAGGTGCTGCAGTACACTTTTACTGAATAGACACTGCCTTAGACTATGCTAAACAAATAAAAGGCCCATATATAGCATCCAAAGCCACCCATGGTAACTTCTGTCTGAATAAGACTGGTAGGATCAGGCCTCATTTTCAAGGTGCAGGTGATAGCTCAGGGATAGAACAGGTATTCAAACACTAGTCCAAACAACAGAGAAGTGTGTTGTCAGCCCAATCACAAATAACAAAGAAATCTTGTCTCAGACTAACACATATTTTTTTTTTTTTTTAACTCTCACAAGCCGGTGGTTACACATAGCTGTGCTGCTGCAAAGTGCTGCTCCGGCAGGATTCAACACACGCCACTCTAGCTATTTGATTAACCTTTCATAACAAGCCTGCAACTATGAGCTCTGGAGTTTTTCAAGACCACATGTTCCCAACTCAGTTCCAGTTCATTAGGCCTGTCTGGGAGCTTAGCAGCCTCAAGCTGGTCTGTAACAGCCTGATAAGGTCTCTCCTGACTTCGGCTTTTACAGCTCACTACTGCGACGTCCAGCCATGACAGCATCTCTGCGCACAGGAAAACATCTGCCTGCGACAACTGTCAACAGGAGCTCAAGAGCTCTGATATCTTATCAGGATTTCATTAGGAAGTGGCTGATAGGGAAGGAGCAGCGTGTGCATGTGTGTGTCCATGTACCGCAGCGCCGCTGGGAGAGAGCTGTCTCATCCCATCGGAAAGTGGCCACTGGACTCTCCTTCCTTGCTTGGGTGACCTTGACATTACAATCTTTGCTCTCCTTCTATCATGGTATAGCACAGCAGGAACCACTGGAGATTGCATCCCAGGATGTCTAACTCACTCAACCTGTAAAACCTGCTTAACAGGAAGGTAGTAAAACACCTCCCAATCTTGTAGCCTGACACCAACCACGCTTCCTCTATTCTGAGAGGGACAACTGGTAGCTGCTCTTCTGCTGCCAGGAGTGGGCAAGGACAGACAGTGCTGCTGCAGCTCTCCAGAGCTTCCCACAGCTCTCCCGGTGAGCTGCTTGCAGAGGACGGCACCTTCACTGAGCGCCTCCGATGTGCTCCCCATGACCTGCTGCCTGCGTGACAGACCAGCTCAGCCCCGATTATGTGTCCACGTTTCCTGAGGAAATATCTCCTTCTAGCCCCCAAAGATTCTGAAGATAAACAACCAAGGAAACAATTGCATTTATTTCACAAGTTGTGTTTTAATGCCTGACTGGGGGCATCGCTCCGAGAACAACCAATGTGAATTTTTTGAGGTTCCGCCTCAGACTGAGCTTTCAAGCAAATGCAGACAGACTGTAATTAGATGCAATAAGCAACCACAATGTCAGAAATATTAATGTCCAAGACACACACAGCCAGACAGTGTTAACTAGTGTACGTGTAACAGAGGAAAGCAGATTTACATCCGCCACAGCTCCCTGCACGCGCAAGCCTGCACTGCCCGAAGGAGCAGGTGCTCTCTGGATCAGTTCTAGGTGCTGCAATACCTGCAACACCCATAACAGCTCAGTGACACCAGGCAGAATCCAGGTTTTCCTTGGCCTCTTTAAGAAGCCATTTGCTGTCCAACCAAGTACATGCACTCAGTGAGAGATTGCCTGAATGTAGAAAGGATAATTCTAAAGCAGGACAATATTCAAACTGCAGGTGGATCAGAATGATCCTCCCTTCCAGACACTGTGGTACCAGCATCTCTCTCTATCAGTGCTTACTAGCTGATATGAAGGAAGACAACAAAAGATGCAGAAGGAAAGATGCAGAAAAGACAGTGGAAGATCAGGCTGACTACTGGACGTGATGCTGCGCTCATGAAAACTTGCAAGAGAGGAAATGATGAATAACACCAAAAGACTGGAGACTCTGTCATTGCCTCATGCTTTAGTCAACGTTACTCCATTCAAAACGCTTTGCTCCACATGTCAGAGCCGCACTGCAGCAGTGCTGGATCCTCCGCTGTCGCCAGTCCCAGCAGAGTAAAGCCATAGCCCGTTGACCAGTGCTAAAGCAGTGAATTAGGAGAACATCAGAATCTTCCTTAT